GTGGTGGTGATGGCAGTGGTGGCGGTCGGGGTGGAGCGGTCCAGAGGGGAGGTTCTGGCGGTGGCCAGAGGCAGCAGCAGCAGCGTCCACGAGAGACCCTTACGCCCCAGTAGCTTCGTGAGTGGTTAGCTCAGCGTGGGGCGTTTGGGGGTAGTGTTCGCTGCCCGTACGTCATTCGCACAGGTGATCGAGCTGGTCAGACCTGCGGGACGCCTGGTTGGTCACATACAGTACCGCTGCTTCTCCCATCTTGACGACGCCTGGCGCGTAGAGTTTGGCGACGAGGCTGAGCCCCCCAGCTGGCTGGAGCTGCTTAGGAACGATGTGGATATATTTGCTCTTGACTATGAAGCTATCTTTACTGGCATGTATGCTTTGACTGTTAGTGCTGAGGGTGACTGTTACCTGTGTGTGCCGCCCGACCCAGGTATAGAGGCTGCTGCTCTAGGTGCTAGTGCGTCTGCTCTCTCTGGTACTGCGCCTGCTGAGGCCTTGCACACCTTCACGCTTGACTCAGGTGCTTCCCACTGCTTCTTTTGCGACAGTACCACAGTCTCTCTGGCTGACCCCTCAGGGGGCCCGGTTCTTGCACGTTCCTCCACTGTTCTCCCGTGTCCGGCGGTTCCGTCTGGCTCACTCTCAGGTCTTCACCTCCCCTCGTTCTCTACGAACTTGGTGAGTAACGCTGTTCTCAAGGATGCGATGGTCACTACCACCACTCCTGGGGGTCAGCGTGTGTCGATCTGCACGTGTGCACGGACGGGCCGTCACCTGGCCACGTTCACCCGTCGGCCTGGGTCGAGCCTGTACACACTGACTACTGAGCCTACTCAGGTGGCTGCGTCTGGTCAGGTGTCCGCGTCAGGTCAGGTAGCAGCCCCCTGTTCGTGTCGCCTCCTCACACACCAAACTGTCCTTTGGCACCACCGCCTTGGTCACCCCTCCCTGCCACGCCTCCGTGGCATGCACTCCCGCTTCCTTGTCTATGGTCTTCCCAGGTCTCTGCCTCCCCTCCCGCCCTCGCCTGCGCCACCCTGCCTTCCTTGCGTCGAGGGGCGGCAGCGCGCTGCTCCTCACTCTTCCTCGTTTCCCCCAACAACTGCTCCCCTGCAGACTCTCCATATGGACGTGTGGGGCCCAGCCCGCGTCAATGGACAGGACCGCGAGCGATACTTTCTGCTGGTTGTTGACGACTATTCGCGTTACACCACGGTCTTCCCCTTGCGCAGCAAGGGGGAGGTCCCTGATGTCTTGATCCCTTGGATCCGCGCTGTTCGTCTCCAGCTCCACGAGCGGTTCCGCTAGGACCTTCCTGTCTTGCGTCTGCACTCTGACAGAGGTGGTGAGTTCTCCTCCCACCTCCTCTGGGAATTTTGTCGTGGGGAGGGTATCCTCCAGCCGTTCACGCTTCCGGCCTCCCCGCAGCAAAATGGGATTGCAGAGCGCCGCATTGGCTTAGTCATGGAGGTGGCTCGTACCTCCATGATCCATAAGGCTGCTCAACATTTTCTGTGTCCGTTTGCAAACTGGTTCGCTGCGCATCAGCTCAACCTCTGGCCCCGTGTCTCCTTGCCGGAGACCTCGCCTACACTGCGTTGGACGGGGGAGGTTGGCGATGCGTCGGTGTTCCGGGTCTGGGGCTCTCGTGCCTTTGTCCGCGATACCACCGCGGACAAGCTCTCCTCTCGCGCCATTCCCTGTGTCTTCCTTGGCTTTCCCACTGACGCGCCTGGCTGGCAGTTTTACCACCCCACCACGCGCCGTGTTCTGTCCTCTCAGGACGTCACGTTTGACGAGTCGGTTCCCTTTTACCGTCTCTTCCCCTACCGCACTGCCCCTCTCCCCCCCCCGCCGCTCTTCCTCGCTCCAGGTCCCCCTCCGGTAGACCCCCTTCCCCCTCAGGGTCCTGCTCCTTCAGGTGTGTCTCAGGTAGACCCACTCCCCTTGGCTGAGCCTTTCGAGGTCACTTCCGACACCTCTGGCCCAGCTGAGGGGGGTGACGTTGCTGCTGACGACGCGGCGGCCCCCCGTCGCTCCCCACGCTTGGAGACCCCTCCAAGTTTTCCACCTCGACTGCCTTCGCCGCCTCTGCAGCCGGTTGCTGTCGACTCTGGTGCTGCTGGGGGTGGTGCTGCTAGGGGTGCTGGGTCTGGCGGTGCGGAGCCTGGGGGTGCTGATCCTAAGGGTGCGGAGCCTGGGGGTGCTGAGCCTGAGGGTACTGCATCTGCTGGGGGTCCTACGGGTGCCTCGCCGCGGCGGTGTAGCCAATGGGAGCCTCTCTCACTAAATCAGCTGCGCGAGTGGTCTGCTCGGCGCACCCGCCTTCGTAGTGGCGCTGCTGGAGCTGGAGGCACTGCCGCTGGAGGCGCTGGCGCTGGAGGCACTGGAGGCACTGGAGCTGGAGGCCCTGGAGCTGGAGGCGCTGGAGTTGGGGGCACTGGCGCGGTAGGCGCTGGCAATGCAGGCACTGGAGCTGGGGGCACTGGCACTGGAAGCGCTGGCACTGGAGGCACAGAAGCTTGAGGCACTGGCGCTGGAGGCGCTGGCATTGGAGACGCTGCAGGTGGAGACAATGGCGCTGGAGACACTGGTGTTAGCGGCGCTAGCGCTGGACGTACTGGAGCTGGAGGCACTGGAGCTGGAGGCACTGGAGCTAGAGTCACTGGAGCTGGAGACACTGAGGCTGGCGGTACTGAACCCGCAGGCACTGCGCAGCAGCGACCGTTTTTCTTGCCGCCGCCGCAGCTGTCCCCGCTACCGCCCGACTCTGTCCTTCGCCAGGTTCTTAGTCTTCTGACTTCTACTGCCTTACTCCTCCCTTACTGTGTCCACCGCCTGACCAGTCACAGCCTCAGTTACAGCCAGACTCCCCGCTGCCTGCTCCTTCTCCTTACACTGAGCAGACAGACTCTCTTACAGAGCGTCGTGAGCCTGCGTCTCGTCCAGCCTCGCCTGCTCGCACTATTTGTCGTGTTCCTCGTCCTCGTCCTCCTCCTGTCCCTGGTACGCATTTTATGGCACTCCGTCCTTCCTCTATTCCATTGCGTGTCCCTTTGCCGTCTTCTCCCCCGTCTTCTTTTCCTGACGTTCCTGACCCTGAGTCTGACCGTGTTCGTGCTGCTAGTCCCACTATCACGCGTCTCCTGGCCACTGACGTCACTGACCCGTCGTTTGAGTCTACTGCTGCATCTGCCTTAGTTGCTGAGCTTGTGGACTTTGCTGCTGCGTGTCGTCTAGACTACGCCGCTAGTCTTGTTGCTGAGTCTGAGTTTGTCTGTCCTCCGTCCGTCGGGGATGAGTGTGCTCTTGGCACGGACGTCCTTGAGGACAGGCAGGAGGACTTTGAGTGTCTTGCAGCTGCTGTACCTCATCTCGTGGCCATGCTGCTTGCACCTGAGGGAGACCCGGATGCACTGGACATCCCGACCCCGCGCTCTTACGCAGAGGCGATTACGGGTCCCTACTCCTCTCAGTGGCAGACAGCCGTGGACGCAGAGATGGCATCCTGGAAGTCCACAGGCACTTACGTCGATGCAGTTCCCCCTCCTGGGGCGAACATAGTCGATGGCATGTGGATTTTCAGGACCTGGTACTCAACATTTTGGACAGAGAGAACGCAATCTACCTCAGCGCTACGAAATACGCCGACACTATCGCAAAACGCTTCGGACTAACGCCAACCGCCATGTCCACACCCTATCGCTACACCGCGGGAAATCACCAGGAAGGATTGAATCCGCTCGCCCCTGCCGGCCTACACGACTACCAGCGGAAACTGGGATGTCTGCTCTTCGCAACTGTCACCTGTCGACCGGTTCTGTCATACTCGGCGAGCCAACTCGCTACTTATCTCAAAAGGCCTGAAGCAGAACATATGGCGGAACTCGATCGCGCACTACACTGCCTCGTCAGCACACCAGCAGTCGGCCTAACCTACCACAAAACTGCAACCACGACTCCAAAGCTAATCGGCTATGTGGATGCCGACCACGCAGGCGACTTCGAAAACAGACGATCACGCACCGGATACGTCTATCCACTTGAGCCCGTTGATCCTATCTCATGGCAGTCGAGCAAGCAAGAGCTAATTGCTCTCTCCTCAGCCGAAGCAGAATACATTGCACTCTGCTCAGCCACCAAGGAAGGCCTGTACCTTCGCGAACTACTGGAAGAAGCAAAACTGGCTCAGTTACCCAACTTCTCCATCTTCTGCGACAACCAATCGGCAATTCGCATAACGAATAAGAACGGGTTCGCGAACCGAACGAAGCACATCGCCCTGCGATATTTCTTCGTGAAAGACGAGATCGAGAAAGGAAGACTCGAGCTATCCTACTGCCCCACGTCCGAGATGGCAACAGATTACTTGAAAGCAGAATTCGAGTACTGCATGCTTCTGACTGGACAAGGCCACGTCACCGCCGATGACAACACTCCAGAAGAGAAGGGGAGTGTTGGAAACATATAGTTCGTGCTTCTGGTATATCGAGCACTATAACAAGAACGAAGCAGATCCACAGCGAAGCAACACCGAGTCAACTGAGCTACAGCAAAGCGGTTGACAAAAGCGACAATAGTAAGCGGTTGAAGTGAAGGTCAAAGGTCAGCGACCTTTGACTTGACGAAACAGCACCCGAGTCATCGCTGAATCAAACCGTGATAGTAGATACAGTTGCAGTTGGACATAAAGCGGTTAAGTTTCTGATATATCTGTAGTCATATATATACCATATATCCCTGCATTATAATCAACTTATCTTGTTCTCACATACCAGTACAAGGTGGTTTAACCAGTTTCATTAAGACGCTTCCGCTAATACATCATCACCCTTGAGCCTTAGTCATTGAAAATATCTTAAGGGCTTTCTCAGCCCAACACCGGTAACTTATTTAGTTTATCATTTGAAGCATTCATTCATGGGCAAGCCCTAAGGCATGCCAGGAATGGTTACTATAGCCACGTGGTAGTGGTTACTGCCGTAGTCAAATACTCCGACTGCATGGGAGAAGATGTGATTGTATCCAAGGGATGAAATTATTCACACTAAGCTTGATGTGCAGCTGATATTTGAGTTTGCCTAACAAAGCAAGTGGTCACCCAAATACGTGAGAATGAGCAAACGCAGAGTAGAAAGGCGAAAAGGAAAACAATAGCTACATTACCATTTCATCCTTGGCACCCCCGTTTAATCCGCGATACAGGCCCTATCCATCCACATCGAAAGCTACCCCTACTGTTGTTCCTGTAAATCGAATCGCCCGGAGGTGTAAACTCTTCAGTGTGGAGCCTAGAATTTAGTTCTTGGGAGGCTCCGATCTCTCTGGACTCGGTGTTCTCGAATCTCGATCGCCTTCTTTACACCGAGAGAGATTCACATGTCTGTGCTCGCCGTCGAGCTCACCTCTCGTCTCGGCTCGGCAGTCCCTAGACCACGTTTTGACGAGCGCGTAGCTACGACTTGCCTTGCCACTCGATTTGCCGTTCTTGCGGAAATCCCGGAGGTAGTGTCCTAGTTACGCGCTATCGACGAGAGGCGCTAGCCCTCTGCTTTGTTCTGTTTTTGTTTTGTTTTGTTTTGTTTTGTTTTGTTTTGTTTTCATTTAATTTCTGGGTTGCTCCGAGCAGCCTTCTCACGAGATTCGTGCATTCGACTGTTGTGCGTCTTGACACATGTCACGAATGCAGGTGTCTAATTGATCTCAAGGTCGATTCCTGAAAGAAAGTAGCTTCTAGGAATCGAATTGTAGAAAACGAATGGCTGGGGACGAAGGAGCGGAAGGGCGGCAGCAGGCGGAAGGCGGAACCGCGCACAGCCACGGCCATGCCGTGCACGCACACGCACACGCGCACGAGCACGAGCACGCTCATTCGCACGACGACCATCACCACCACCACGACCACCACGAGCAAGACCACGACCATCCTGCAACGTCAGTGACCCCTTGAGTCTATTCCCAGTTTGCCGTTTTTTCACTAGACTAGCCTGCATTCCCTTTTTTTCTGTTTCCCCCGTTATTCCTCCCTTGTCGTGACGTTTATTTTATTTGCCGGGGAGCCCGTTGTCCAATCCAGCGGCGACACGTCAGCACCGTCCGACGAGTTCCGCGGCGCGGACGGGCGCGTGTACCACTCGCACGACGGGCTCGCGCCGCATTCGCACGAGCCGCTCGACAGCGCGGGGAGCTTCGCGCTGCGCGCGCCGCCCCTGGCGAACCGCGACCTGGCGGAGCGCGCGTTTACCGTTGGAATCGGCGGGCCCGTCGGATCAGGGTACGCGGGGGGAGGGGAGGAGATTGGGAGGGAGGGAAGGAGGGAAGTGCGGATGTGAAGAAGGGGGGTCGCATCCGCTCATGCGCGCATTGCATTGCACGCCGAGCATGGCTGGACTGTTCAGAATCGGCGGGCCCGTCGGATCAGGGTACGCAGGGGGAGGGAGGGGAAAGAGGGGGAATCGGGGGGAGGAGAGGGGGAGAGAGAAGGGAAATTGAAGGGGTGCATTGCCCGCAGGTTGTCTGGGGGAAGGCGGAGGGCGGAAGAGGAAGGAGGGAGGGGGGAATCTGAAGGGATGCATTGCGCACAGGTTGTGTGGGGGAAGGCGGAGGGCAGAAGCGGAAGGAGGGAGGGGGGAATCTGAAGGGATGCATTGCCCGCAGGTTGTCTGGGGGAAGGCGGAGGGCGGAAGAGGAAGGTGGGAGGGGGGAATCTGAAGGGATGCATTGCGCACAGGTTGTGTGGGGGAAGGCGGAGGGCGGAAGCGGAAGGAGGGAGGGGGGAATCTGAAGGGATGCATTGCCCGCAGGTTGTCTGGGGGAAGGCGGAGGGCGGAAGAGGAAGGAGGGAGGGGGGAATCTGAAGGGATGCATTGCGCACAGGTTGTGTGGGGGAAGGCGGAGGGCGGAAGCGGAAGGAGGGAGGGGGGAATCTGAAGGGATGCATTGCGCACAGGTTGTGTGGGGGAAGGCGGAGGGCGGAAGAGGAAGGAGGGAGGGGGGAATCTGAAGGGATGCATTGCGCACAGGTTGTGTGGGGGAAGGCGGAGGGCGGAAGCGGAAGGAGGGAGGGGGGAATCTGAAGGGATGCATTGCCCGCAGGTTGTCTGGGGGAAGGCGGAGGGCGGAAGAGGAAGGAGGGAGGGGGGAATCTGAAGGGATGCATTGCGCACAGGTTGTGTGGGGGAAGGCGGAGGGCGGAAGCGGAAGGAGGGAGGGGGGAATCTGAAGGGATGCATTGCGCACAGGTTGTGTGGGGGAAGGCGGAGGGCGGAAGCGGAAGGAGGGAGGGGGGAATCTGAAGGGATGCATTGCGCACAGGTTGTGTGGGGGAAGGCGGAGGGCGGAAGCGGAAGGAGGGAGGGGGGAATCTGAAGGGATGCATTGCGCACAGGTTGTGTGGGGGAAGGCGGAGGGCGGAAGCGGAAGGAGGGAGGGGGGAATCTGAAGGGATGCATTGCGCACAGGTTGTGTGGGGGAAGGCGGAGGGCGGAAGCGGAAGGAGGGAGGGGGGAATCTGAAGGGATGCATTGCGCACAGGTTGTGTGGGGGAAGGCGGAGGGCGGAAGCGGAAGGAGGGAGGGGGGAATCTGAAGGGATGCATTGCGCACAGGTTGTGTGGGGGAAGGTGGAGGGCGGAAGCGGAAGGAGGGAGGGGGGAATCTGAAGGGATGCATTGCGCACAGGTTGTGTGGGGGAAGGCGGAGGGCGGAAGCGGAAGGAGGGAGGGGGGAATCTGAAGGGATGCATTGTGCACAGGTTGTGTGGGGGAAGGCGGAGGGCGGAAGCGGAAGGAGGGAGGGGGGAATCTGAAGGGATGCATTGCGCACAGGTTGTGTGGGGGAAGGCGGAGGGCGGAAGAGGAAGGAGGGAGGGGGGAATCTGAAGGGATGCATTGCGCACAGGTTGTGTGGGGGAAGGCGGAGGGCGGAAGCGGAAGGAGGGAGGGGGGAATCTGAAGGGATGCATTGCGCACAGGTTGTGTGGGGGAAGGCGGAGGGCGGAAGCGGAAGGAGGGAGGGGGGAATCTGAAGGGATGCATTGCGCACAGGTTGTGTGGGGGAAGGCGGAGGGCGGAAGCGGAAGGAGGGAGGGGGGAATCTGAAGGGATGCATTGCGCACAGGTTGTGTGGGGGAAGGCGGAGGGCGGAAGCGGAAGGAGAGAGGGGGGAATCTGAAGGGATGCATTGCGCACAGGTTGTGTGGGGGAAGGCGGAGGGCGGAAGCGGAAGGAGGGAGGGGGGAATCTGAAGGGATGCATTGCGCACAGGTTGTGTGGGGGAAGGCGGAGGGCGGAAGCGGAAGGAGGGAGGGGGGAATCTGAAGGGATGCATTGCGCACAGGTTGTGTGGGGGAAGGCGGAGGGCGGAAGCGGAAGGAGGGAGGGGGGAATCTGAAGGGTGAGGGGGGAAGGGGTCGTGCCAGGTGTCACCTCACCCCCTCCGTCCCCCATCCGTCCTGCCTATTTCCCCCGACAACCCTACTTCCCCCGTCCGCCCTCCTTCCCCGACCACCCCCATTCCCCCATTCATCCCTTCACAGCGCAACTGCTCTCTGCTAGCACTATATCGCACACTCAGGGGCCAACCGTCCCTCCCCTCTATGCCCGCCCCCATTCCCCCATTTCCCCATTTGCCCATCCGCCCCCATTCCCCCATTCCCCAATTTGCCCATCCGCCCCCATTCCCCCATTCCCCAATTTGCCCATCCGCCCCCATTCCCCCATTCCCCAATTTGCCCATCCGCCCCCATTCCCCCATTCCCCCATTCCCCAATTTGCCCATCCGCCCCCATTCCCCCATTCCCCCATTCCCCAATTTGCCCATCCGCCCCCATTCCCCCATTCCCCCATTCCCCAATTTGCCCATCCGCCCCCATTCCCCCATTCCCCCATTCCCCAATTTGCCCATCCGCCCCCATTCCTCCATTCTCTCTTACGCCCATCCATCTCTTTCCCTCTACAACGTTTTCCCCCCAATTTTCCATTAACCTTTTCTGTCATTCCCTCCTTCCCTCGTTCCCCTTTCCCCTCTTTCCCTCATTCCCTCTTTCCCTCATTCCCTCTTTCCCGTTTTCCTCATTCCCCTCATTCCCACTTTCCCCGTTTCCCTCAGTCACCCAATCCCCCCTCACCGTTTGGCAGCAAAACGGCTTTCATGCTCGCCCTGTGCTGCATGCTAAGAGCCAAGTACCGCCTGGCAGCCGTTACCAACGACACTTTCGCCTCGTGTTCCCCTTCACCCCTCGTGTTCCCCTTCACCCCTCGTGTTCCCCTTCACCCCTCTTGATCTCTTGCAGAAAGACTGCCCTCATGCTCGGCCTGTATCGCATGCTGAGAGACAAATACAGCCTAGCAGCCGTCACAAGCAGCAACTTCACTGCCCCGTATTCATTTCCTTTCCTCTCCGCCCCCGTTCCCATCCACCCACTCAACTCTAATCATCTTGTTCCCTTGCAGGAAGTCTGCCCTAATGCTGGCTCTGTGCTGTGTCGCACGCCAAGGGACCAGTACAGCCTGGCAGCAGTTGTTACCAACGACATCTCCACCCACACTCATTCTCCCCTTACACTCCCACGCCCCGGTTCACCCATTTACCTTCAACCATCCCACAGAGAAACTGCTCTCATGCTCGCCCTCTGGTGTATGTTAAGGGACCAGTACAACCTGGCAGCGGTGACCAACGATATCATCACGCAGGAGGGCGGCTAAGTGAAGGACCCTCATGCCTGCTCTGCCACTGCACCTTCCTTCCTTGCCCCATTCCCCTCTTGACTCTCTTTGCACAACGGCCCTCATGCTGGCTCCGTGCCGCACGCTAAGGGACCAGTACAGCCTGGCAGCCGTCACCAACGACATCTCCACGCAAGAGGACGAATATGACAGAGGAGAGCAGCTCTCCTCGTCTCTTCTCCTGCGCTCCCCCGGTTCTTTCACCCATTCCTCCCCCTGACCCCCATGCAGGAAGACTGCTCACATGCTCGCCCTGTGCCGCACGCTCAGACACCAGTGCAGCCTGGCAGCGGTGATCAACAACATTGACCCTCGTGCTCCCCTGCACTCCTCTTCTCCACTTCCCCTGGCTCACGTTCCTCTGCACTTCCCCTGTTTCCTTGCAGCCAAACGGCTCTCATGCTGGCCCTGTGTCGCACGCTGAGGGACAAGTACAGCCTGGCAGCGGTCGCCAACGACATCTTAACCCTCGTGTTCCCTGCAACCCTCTCGTTCCTTTTGTTCCCTTGCAGCAAAACCGCTCTCATGCTCGCCCTCTGCCGCACGCTACGCGACAAGTACAGCCTGGCTGCGGTTACCAACGACATCTTCACGCAAGAGGACGGCGAGTTCCTGATAAAGCACGCCGCCCTCTCGCCGCCCGGCCGCATTCGAGCGGTCGAGACGGGCGGCTGTCCGCACGCCGCCATCCGGGAGGACATCAGCATCAACTTGGGGCCACTGGAAGAACTGTCTTCTCAATTCAGCGCGGACATGCTGCTGTGCGAATCAGGGGGAGGTGAGTGAGTGGCACGAAAGGTCTCTTCTCATGTTTGCACGCGGCCATTCGGGAAGGCATCAGCATCAACTTGGGGTCATTGGAGGAGCTTTCTGCAGAGTTTAAGGCGGGGCTGCTGATATGCTGCTGTGCAAATCAGGCGGAGGTGAGTAACGGTGGATGTGAAAGGCCTGTTGGCATGCTGTGAGCGAGGCATAGGGTCTCCTCTCAGGTTTGCACGCTGCCATGCGGGGAGGACATTAGCATCAACTTGGGACCATTGGAGGAGCTTTCCACAGAGTTAAGACGGATATGCTGCTGTGCGAGTCAGGGGGAGGTGAGTGAGTGTGAGGGGCACTGTGGCACGAAGGGTCTCATTCCATGTTCGCTTGTTACTGCCGCCATTCGGGAAGACAGCAGCATTGACTTGGGGCCGCAAGAGAAGCTGTCAACTGGGTCCATGGATGGTGATGTCAGCTGCTGAGCTGAGAGAGGGGGAGCACTGTGTCAGCATGTTCTATTTTCAACGCAGTTCAGTGCGAACATGCTGCTGTGCGGGAAAAGGTAGAGGCAAGTGAAGTACCTGTCCCTCGTGCTTCCATTGACGCGCCTCTCCTTCCTCCCTCCACGTCCAGTAGATGTTCCATTGGCGAACTTTTGAGACGTCTCAAAACACGTCCAGTAGATGTTCCATTGGCGGATTTCAGCCGAAACTCGGCTGCCTTCCGTCATTGATGGTATTGTTGCTGCTGCCCCCATCTGTTTCCCCTCCTCCACTCCTATGATGCAAAAGACGCGTCCTGCGTCCTGGACGAATGCGTCCAGACGCATGCGTCCTGACGCAGGACGCAGAACCTGGACCAGAAAGACGCACCAAAAGACGCAAGCCCGGGCAGGGCAAAAAAACCCCCGGGCAGGCCAAAAAAAATTGTATAGGGCTTGGGAGAGGGGATGGGGGGGGAACCTTCCACACTTTCAAGGCAAATTGTTCCCCAACCACAAAATTTTCCCCCAAAGTTTAAGATTAAGGTGAGTCACGCGTCACACACACATTTCACAAGGTCACACACACATTTAGTTTAATCCATCCACTTAAGAACATGCATACTAAACTACCACTGCTAAAACCTCAAGGGTTTACAAAAGAGAATTGGATGGGTGGGGAAAATGAGAGAAACCACAAATGGTTGCATTGCTAAATGTGCTTGGTGGTGGTGGACCACAAAGGTTGGGTTTCGTAGATGTGAAGTGGTTGAGAGGTTTGAGAGAATTTCCAATTTGCATGAATGGTTATGAAATGCTAGGGGGGCTGGTTTAGAATGGCGAATTGGGCCTGGGGGGTCGAAATTTCGCAATTCCAACATTCGCGTCGAAATCGCGAATGTCGAAATCGCGATCGGATTTTTTTTTTCAGGCTGCCCGGAAAAAATTTTGGCGTGCGTCCTGCGTCTGGACGCGCGTCCTGCGTCCTAGCGTCCAGACGCTGCGTCCAGACGCAGGACGCAGCGTCCTGGTTGCGTCTTTCGTAACATAGCTCCACTCCCCTCCTTCGTTCCCCCCAGACAAAACTAGCGGCGAACTTCAGTCGAGAGCTAGCAGACTATATCATCTGCATCATTGACGTGTCGGGCGGCGATAAGATGCCGCTTGCTTCTGCACCCTTTCACCTCCCCTGCTCCGCTTGTCCCCTGTGCCCTATCCACTCTCCCCAGACAACCTGGCAGCCAACTTCAGCCGGGAGCTAGCAGACTATATCATCTGCATCATTGACGTGTCGGGGGTTGGTGACGAGACCCCATTGGTTTCCTCATCTGTCTCCCCATCTGGCTCCTATCCCCTGTCCCCCATCCCATCCCCCCCAGACAACCTAGCGGCCAACTTCAGCCGAGAGCTAGCAGACTACATCATTGAGTCGACTCAAAAGCAGAGCTAGCAGACTACATCATTGAGTCGACTCAAAAGCAAAGCTAGCTGATTACATCATTGGCGTGTCGTGGGGTCGGTGATGAGAGACCCCATTTGTTTCCTCACCTCTCTCCCCATCTGGTTCATATGCCCTGTCCCCCATCCCCATTCCCATGTACCCTGTCCCCTCCCCAGACAACCTAGCGGCCAACTTCAGCCGAGAGCTAGCGGACTACATTATCTACATCATTGACGTGTCGGGCGGCGATAAGATCCCCAGGAAGGGCGGCCCGGGGATCACACAGGCAGACCTGCTGGTGAGAGAAAAGGGAGGTGAGAGGGGGAGGCTATGGGCGTGGTCCCAGGGGCATGAGCTCCAGTGTGTGGTGGGTGGAGAGAAGATCCCTGGAAGCGTGGTCCAGGATGACACGTGCATGCAGGCATCACACAGGCAGACCTGCTGGTGAGAGATGGTGTGCAGGTAGTGTGAAATGGGTGGGCTGCGGTGGGTGGTGTGCGACCCGGGCATTGACCTGTGGATGGGTATGTGGCGGTGAGAGCAGGGGGTGTGGCGGTGAGAGCAGGGGGTGTGGCGGTGAGAGCACGTGGCGGTGAGAGCACGTGGCGGTGAGAGCACGTGGCAGTGAGAGCACGTGGCAGTGAGAGCACGTGGCAGTGAGAGCACGTGGCAGTGAGAGCACGTGGCAGTGAGAGCATGTGGCAGTGAGAGCACGTGGCAGTGAGAGCACGTGGCAGTGAGAGCACGTGGCAGTGAGAGCACGTGGCAGTGAGAGCACGTGGCAGTGAGAGCACGTGGCAGTGAGAGCACGTGGCAGTGAGAGCACGTGGCAGTGAGAGCACGTGGCAGTGAGAGCACGTGGCAGTGAGAGCAGGGGGCTTAGCTGTGGTTGGCATAGTGGAAAAACGATTCTCCCATGCTCCTTGTTGATCAACACAGCTGGTTGGTAGTGTTGGTTGATCAACACAGCTGGTTGGTAGTGTTGGTTGATCAACACAGCTGGTTGGTAGTGTTGGTTGATCAACACAGCTGGTTGGTAGTGTTGGTTGATCAACACAGCTGGTTGGTAGTGTTGGTTGATCAACCTACTCCTTTTCCTCCCTAAACCCTCTTTCTCCTTGTCAGCCTTCCTGTTCAAAATTTAACTTCCCCCCTATTCTCCCACGCCCGTTCCCCGTTCCTTGTCTCTCTTTCTGTTCTGTGATCCATGCCGCGTGCATTCTGCCATGCTGACGTGGCATCATCAGGTGGTGAACAAGACTGACCTGGCGCCGGCGATTGGTGCTGACCTGGCAGTCATGGAAGCGGACGCGCTGCGCATGCGGGATGGCGGGCCCTTGGTGTTTGCACAGGTGAGTGAGTGGGTGGGAGGCAGGAGGGGAATGCATGGAGGTTGGTGTGCGTCCGTGTGGGACTTGTCAAGGGACTCTCTTCACTAGGAGGACAGCTGCATGTGTAGCCTGGCAGTCATGGGAACAGACGCGCTGCGCATGCGGGATGGTGTGTTTTCACAGGAGGGTGGGTGGGTACAGAGGGGAATGGAAGGACTGAGGAGCATGTATCCTGCCAGTGGTGAATGGCGGGATGGCGGGCCCTTGGTGTTCGCACAGGTGGGTGGGTACAGAGGGGAATGGAAGGACTGAGGAGCATGTATCCTGCCAGTGGTGAATGGCGGGATGGCGGGCCCTTGGTGTTCGCACAGGTGGGTGGGTACAGAGGGGAATGGAAGGACTGAGGAGCATGTATCCTGCCAGTGGTGAATGGCGGGATGGCGGGCCCTTGGTGTTCGCACAGGTGGGTGGGTGGGGGACAGGAGGGGAATGCATGGAGGTGTCTGTGTGTGTGTGGGGGGGGGGGGGGGGGAAGGGGCTCGTATGAGCCGGGCAGTCATGGAAAGAGGCGCGCTGCGCATGCGGGATGGTGGGCCCTTGGTGTTTGCTCATGTCATGGGTGGGAGACAGGAGGGGAGTGGACGGAGGTTGGTGTGCGTGTGTGTGGGGCTTGTAAAGGGACCCTCTTCACTGGGAGGATAGCTGCACATGTGACCTGGCAGTCATGGAAGTGGGTGCGCTGTGCGTGTGTTTTTTGAGAATTCTCAAAAAACGCAGGATGGTGGCACCCTAGTGTTTGCACAGATGAGTGGGTGAGGGTGGGGTGGAAAGAGATGAGTGTGTGTTTCCAGGTTTCCTAACGATCGTCTGCATCCCACTTAACTCCCTTTTCTTTTTGTTTCCAGCCCCAGTAAGTGTGCTGTGCAGGTGAACTATGGGGTGGGGGTGGCAGCATGAGGTGGTGATGGCAGTTTTAATGTCTCATCCTCATGTGCAAGATCATGTACTCGCAGCTCATCCTCATGAATGCTGTCATTCGTCCCATGCTTGCATGCACCCGTCCTCCCATCCCCACAGGTGAAGCATGGGGTGGGGGTGCGGTCCATAGTGGACCATGTGCTCACAGCATGGAGTGCCGCTCTTCATGCCTGTATGAACCCATACATCCCATGCGTGCTGCTCTCTTCCCCCCAATCCAACCATCACCTCTCTCCCCCAACCAGGTGAAGCATGGGGTGGGGGTGCCGGCCATAGTGGACCATGTGCTCACAGCATGGAGTGCCGCTACAGGCCAGTCCAGGAGGTGACGGGAAGCGTACTTCCTGTTACAGTTACAGTCACAGTTACAGTCTCTGCTACAGTCGGTTGTAGCTACACTCATGGTAAGGGTAGTCATTGTTACAGTCATGGCCATAGCTCACAGCATGGAGTGCTGCCACAGGCCAGCCCAGGAGATGATGGGTCAAGAATCAGGATCGCTGGCACATTTGCTGTTGCCCTCACTGTTACTGTCTTTGTTACAGTCATGGAAGCAGCTTATTACAGTTACTCACAGTGCCAGCCATAGTGGACCATGTGCTCACAGCATGGAGTGCCGTCACAGGCCAGCCCAGAAGGTGACGGGGCACTCTCCCTGGTACACTTGCTGTTGTGATAGTTGTCATGATTTCTGTTACAGCAATGGTAACGATAACGGTGAAAAAAATCAGGGTTACTGGCATTGGCATTGGCTGGTAACTGTGGACTTGTTTTACTTTTATGTGTAAACCTTCTTGCTGAATGATTTATGAAAGGAGTAAGATGTGGATTGGCACTAGTTTCCTATTGGATTGGCACTACTTGTGAACACACTCTTACAGAACTAGTTGACAAGTTTCACGAACAACTGCCATAACGGGGATCCAGCGTTCCCCGCTTCCCCTCCCCTCCCAGACAAATCAGCTCAGAATCAACGGTGCGATTCAACGGTGCGGATGCGCGTCCGCGTTCATGAGCTCCACTGCACCTTAGATGAGGCAGCCCTGGTTTCCAACTTCAAGGGCTGGGTGACGTGAGTCAACCAATACGGATGTGACACGCCTTCTGACTGTCATTCACCGCCACCATTCACCACTCGGGATTCACGATTCTGGATTCAGGGATTCACGAATCAGACCGCACTGCGCTCCACGCTCCGCGAGTATATTTCCAGTTCGACTTCAAGTGAAACGACGCTGGGAACCACGCCGTAAAATACGCCTCCAAGTACGGCCGAGCCTGAAGCGGTGATAGACAAACTCGACGTTGCCACGTGGCTGTCATATAGTTTAAATATCGCGGCGCGGTGCTGATCAGGCAGGCCGCATTCCCGCATCGGATCCCATTCTTAAAACTGGTTCAGATGGCAGCAGCGTCGTCAGGGACTACAGCATCCCTAAATGGCCTGTCGAATGTCGGCGCCAGCCACGCCGCCATTCGCGGCCCGCGCTTCGGCACCCACGGCCGACGTGTCACTCCTGTCGCCGCCGCGACGCGCGCGACATTACCGAGATTTCGAGCCGATTGCGACACGTGGCAATCGGCCATTGCGCGAAAATGCGGGTGGTCCAGCGGGGAGATTGGGGGAGTATGGGGAAACGGCGGGATTGCTGGAGGGTTGCGCAGGCGCGCGGAACGGAAGGGGGGAGTATCTGCAGCGGGTGCCGGTGGGGTGGGAGTGGTTGTGGTAGCGGCGGCGGGAGCGGAGCAGTCGCCTTATGACGTGCTGGGAGTGCCTCGAGGCGCGTCTCAGAAGGAGATTAAATCCGCGTTTCGGCGACTGGCTCTCAAGTACCATCCTGACGTGAATAAAGCGGTGAGAACCTTTTGCCAGTTGTGAATGAAGGTTAGAAATTTGTAAAACGACAAAATTTTTAGACGCATCGCCTTGCGATTCCTCCCTCATCTTGCTCTTCATCCCTCACCTCTCCCACCCCTCGCACAGTCGCTTTTGTGTTAGTTAATCCGAAACAGCAGCAAACAAAGTGACTTTTGAGTCGACTCAAAAGTTACCTGTTAATCCGAAACAGCAGCAAACAGGAGACCGAGGCGTTGGTCTCTTGCTTCACCCTTGCTCTCTCCTCTTCCCCTCCTCCTCCTCCTCCTCCTCCTCCTCCTCCTCCTCCTCCTCCTCCTCCTCCTCCTCCTCCTCCTCCTCCTCCTCCTCCTCCTCCTCCTCCTCCTCCTCCTCCTCCTCCTCCTCTCCCCACGCGTCCTCGCCTTCCTCTATCCCCTCGTTCCTCCCCCCCACAGCTCGACTTAGGCACCTTCTTCTTCCTCTTCCTAATGTTCCCGAATAGGTCCCAATCAATGGGGCATAGCTGCTCATTCCCCTCTCCCTCCTCCTCATCGCCCCCCACTTCCTCTTCCTTTGCTGCTGCCGGTTCAACGGCACACCCTTGCTTGAGGGTGCCGTTGGCCAGATCGGCATAAAGCTTCTCCCTCTCCCGTGATTTCCTATCGAAAGCATCCCTGTCCATCCTGGCAAACGCCACCTCAGTCACGTCCATCATCTTTTTGGCGCTGAGGTGGTTACGGTCCCGCCTCTGCACGCGTGCAATGGCGGACCAGTAGCGCTCCACCTCAGACGACGTGACTGGCTGTGACAGCACCGTCACAGCCAGCCCCTTGAGCGCTTGCACTTCTCCCCCATACATCAGCCACCACTCCGCCTCCGTCAAGCGGCCACTCGCCACCAACACCGTTGCTGGGCGTCATCGGACCCTATCAGCCCCTCTCCCTTATGAAACTGCGTCAACTGCGCCAACAGCAGCGTGCGTTGAGCGACATCCCCCCACGGGCTTGGATCACCGCTTCCGCCCGAAGCCTTACCTCGGGATCGTTTTTCACCTCTCTGCCATACTGATTGCGGGGGTTGAGAAGCCACCCCATAGCATGGAGTGTTGGGCGTCCCACCTCCTGGCTATAGTAGCCTTGATGGCGGCCAGAAAGGCCAGCTTGTCTTTGGCCGACAAGAGAGATGTGCGTTTCAGCATCATTTTTGCTGCCCATGGGGAGAACCGGAGAGCACGAGGTGAGTACGATGGACGGGAAGGGTATACAATAGCCAGAACGTGCGGCAATTCACAACTTACCTGCCGCCTGTGCCGCATTGTTTGTCTTCACTGTGGCATCTAGCATGAGGCCATAGATCTGGCCCATGACTAGAGCACGCGTGTCAACCACCCGCAGCACTTCGTACACGAGTGTCATGAGGCGGAGGACCGCTGTCGTGCAGTCCCAAAAGACCTCATCCAAGAGGAGCAAGCGGACAGCTCGCTCCTCCTCAGACCGTGCCACCGCCAGCACCTCCCACTCCTCATTTATCACCATCTCCTTGAGCGCTCTCTTTACTTCTAGGAAGCTGGTAAGCATGATAACCCGGGTGCCGAAGCGTGTTGCACCGGGCCGCACCAAGGACAATGTGCTAAACAACTCGTGGAAGAGCGTGACGGCGGACTCGCTGCCCTTGACGATTATAACCACCCTGTGCACCTGGTTAAGCACCCGCTGCACAGCACGGACCTTCCTGATGTCGTGAAGCATCAGGTCCAGGACGTGGGCCGCACAGTTGTTGAAGAAAACTGCAGGAAAACCGTTACGGAGGATGTCGGCCGCCCACCGGTTGTTGGGCGCATTGTCCATGACCACCTGGACCACATCCGAGGCTCCAACATCGGCGATCGAGCGCCGGATGCGGCCGGCCAAGTACTCCTCCGACTTCTTCGCTGTCTTGGAGTCCACGATCTTCACGATGACAGGCGCTGTGTCATTGTGGGCTATGACACACACTAGCCCACAGCTCTTCATGCAGGTCCAGCCGCCCACGAAGAGGGTGCAGCCGCTAGTCTTCCAACTCTCCTTCAGGGGCCGTACAAGGTCCTCGGTATCCGCTACCAGTTTTTGGAGCAGCACACCAGAAACCCTGAATGGGGATGGGAGGGTGTACTGTTTCCCGAAGGCAACAGCCGTATCCACGAAGTTCTGCACAGCTGGTGACTTGGACGTATGGTACGCCCAATCCTTATCAGCCACTGCAACGGCCCATAGGTAGTCTTGTCGAGCGCGTGCAGCGTCATCCACCATGTCGTGGATGTCTCGCTGCCGAGCGCGCCGAGCGGGTTCGATGTGAAGGGTTGAAGTGGAGCCATGGATTGACGAAGTGGCGCTTCCAGAACGCTCATTAGCTGCTGCTGCTTCCTCGCGAGATTTGATGGCGACTTCGTGGGCGCACGGCGTCACATTCTTATCTTTGTACTTCGGCGTCCCACATATGTGCTCTCTTATGCATGTTGCATTAGCAGTCACGGATTCGTTGGAGTGTACGCATGTTGCAGTTAGAGTGCCGCCAGGTCCCTTAGCCGTTGTAACGTGCTTCCACAGTGGCGATTTCTGCCTCGCCATGGCGTATGTCCTGACTTGCACGCGGGGTGGTGGAGCACACTAAAGACTAGACTAGAGCTCTGCTTTGACTATGTGCAGTAGTGACTAAACCAATCTCCTAAGTACCTCGTAGTGGAAACTGGGCGTGTTGTGTCGAGTGGGTTTGTGAGAAGGTTGAGCGCACGGGAGTTATTCTGATTGGTTGGATTGGTTTCGCATCGCGACTTTTGGATGTGTCGCTCCTGCGAGCGAAAAAAACATCCGCTGCACGAAAATTTTAACGGAAAAAAACGAATCGAAGGAGCGAATGTGTACAGTTCGCCAAATGTTGAAATGTCGCGCGGCGGGAAATTGCTCGCGTTGCGTTTCGGCGACTGATGCCAACGAGTTGGCGAAACATGTAAACTGGATATGGTATTCGACACATGCCCAAATGTCGCGACGCGTAAAAGGCGTGACATTCGCGACTCGGGAAAAAATCACATTCGAGGGTACGGATGTCAGAGAAATTTGACTTTGGGAGAAACAGGCGCGTGAAATTCAGGTTTTCGATATTCACAGATTCGGTTTCAATTTTCCGATCGAATTATACGGTCGTATTTTTGAACCAGACAAAGAAAAACAATAATCCACCGCTTTAAACCGTATTTTACGGTCGTTTTATACGATTCCGTATTATACGGTAGAATTTCAATAATTTGGTCGTAATTTTGAACCTTGGGCCCCATCATACCTTCCCACACCCCCCTCTCCTCCCCCCGCCCCCCCCCGTCCCACAGCCCGACGCACAGCAACGTTTTGTGCGCTAAGCAGGTGTATCAGACCCTCACAGGCCCCTCCTCCTCTCTTCCTTCCCCGCTCCCTTCTCGACCCCATTCCGTTCCCCCCTTCCTCCCCCTTCCCCCCCCTTCCTCCCCCACCCAGCCCGACGCCCAGGCGCGCTTTGGATGCATCAAGCAGGCCGACCAGACCCTCTCAGGCCCCTTCTTCTCTCCTCCTTCCCTGCTCCCTTCTCTTCCCCCTTCCGATCCCCTTTTCCCCCAACCCCAGCCCGACGCACAGCAGCGCTTTGTGCGCATCAAGCAGGCGTATCAAACTCTCACAGACCCCGACGCTGCTGCCAACGCCAAGGCGCGAGCAGCCTCGCAGCGGCAGCAGCAGCAGTGGGCGCGGAGCAGCAGCAGCAGCAACAGGGCGAGGGGGGGGTATGGGGCGCAGTGGGACGCAGATTTCAGCGGTCCATTCGATCCGTTTGATGCGTGGAAGGGGCCAAAGAACAAACCAGATGACTTCTACAGTCTTGGTGAGTGTGTGGGTTGGGATGGCTTGGACAATCTGGGTAGGGTATGGTGTGCGGGGACGGGCATGGCGCGCAGTGGGACGCGGTTTTCAGTTGTCCGTTTGACCCGTTCGATGCATGGAAGGGGCCGGCAAACAAGCCGTACGACTTTTACAGCCTCAGTGAGTGCGTGAGTGGGACTGCACAGTAGCGTTGCAGAGGATGATGGGGACAGCGGGGCAGTGGGACAGGTGGGTGGCAGGCAGAGGATGATTTTGTCCCTCCACTTGAACCCTCCACTTGAACCCTTTGATGCATGGAAAGGACAACAACAAGCTGGATGACTTCTACGGTCTCAGTGAGTGTTAGTTGGGTTGGACAACAGTCGTGTGGGAGTGTAATGGACAGTGGTCACAGTGGGGGCAGCGGGGGGCAACAGGGGCAGTGGGGGTCAGTGGGGAGCAGTGGGGACAGTGGGGGGCGGTGGGGGGCGGTGGAGGCAACTGGGGCAGTAGGGGCAGTGGGGCAGTGGGGGAAGTGACTTTGTACTTCCCACCCCAACCATTTTGATGCCGATGACTGGCACAATCTTGGTAAGACGCCTCAAAAGAGCGTACCTATGCTTCTTCCATCAACCCCTCTATTGTTTGGGAGGGCCTGCGAACAAAATTTTAGGGGCCTCAAACAATAGAGGGGTTCATGGAAGAAACAATGCGCATCTATGCCTTATCCCAAAGTTTGCAGAACATAACGTTCACGTCTTTGAGGAGAAACAGGAGTGGCATCTCCTCCCTGTGCCTTGTACCCCCTTCCAAACACCCCCCCTCTCCCTTCTCCAGCCCGTGCGTTCCTGCAGACGATTTTTTTAAGGATCTTCAGAAGGACTTGGAGGAGAAGCAGAAGGAGCAATTATATGCCGACTCAGGTCGCCCTCCCCCCCCCCCCCCCCCCCACCCCCGCCCCCCATGCCCCATGTGAGCCTGCAGACGATTTCTTCAAGGACCTCCAGAAGGACTTTGAGGAGAAGCAGAAGGAGCGGGGCAGCGGCAAGCCCAAGAGCCTTTGGGAGGAGCTGGCGGTGAGTGGAGGAGTTGGGTTTCCTGTTTTGAGTCTCGAGGTTGCACGGTTGTGGTTTTGGACCCCTTGCAGAAGCAGAAGGAATGGGAGGGCAACCCCAGGAGCCAGTGGGGGGATCTGGCGGTGAGTGGGAAGAGAAGGGTTTCGGGATTTGAGAAAGTTGAGGGTTTTTGTTTACAGAAGGATGGGTTGGTTGGGGCTGCTAGAGTGTGCGAGTGAGGGGATGGGAGCAGAAGGAATGGGGGCCAAGCCCAAGAGCCTGTGGAAGGTGCTCGCGTCAAGTGGTGGGGGTGGGGGGGGAGGAGGCGCAGGTTTTGGTTTCGGGTCTCGATTATGCACTTAGGGGCCTCACGCATGGCACCTGAGGGCGCCAGGCTGGCACTTGAGGGCGCCAGGCTTGCACTTGAGGGTTGTGATTTCCGGGATGATGAGTCAGTTGGGCCTAGTGTTTGGGAGTGCATGGAGGGGTGAAGAGCTGGGGGAACAGGGGGCAAGCTGAAAACCGGTGGGAGGAGCATGTACCTTATTGCAGTCCCTTCTACAACTAAGCGTTCACATGCGTTTGTTACTTAACAAACAACATCCTTCATATTGCATTACAGGACCTTGGCGAGGACTTGGTGGATTTCTTGGAGAAGAATGTACCAGAGCAGCAAGAGAAGCCCACATACAGCAAGGAATATTTCTACTCGGGAGCCAGCAGCAGACCCGATGGTAGCAGCAGTGGCCCCAGCAGCAGCACCAGCAGCGGCAGCAGCAGCGGCAGCAGCAGCAGGGGGGGGAGCAGCGGAAGCAGCAGCAGCACCGGTGGCAGTGCTAGCACGAGCAGCAGAGGCAGCAGCAGCCAGAGCAGCAGTGGCAGTGGCAGCAGTGGGTATGGGTCATCCTCCTACTCCTCAGGGTCGTCGGCTGGTAGAGCGCAGCAGAGTGCGTGGGAGGAGAGGATAAAGAAGGATAAGGAGAAGGAGATAGATGATGAGTTGCAAAAGCTGAAGCGGGAGATGGGGCTGTGATGTGATGGCTGAATTTACTGTGCATATTTGAGTTGACTAAGTTGAGCCCAACATAGTGCGTGGGAGGAGAGGATAAAGAAGGAGATTGATGACGAGTTGCAGCAGCTGAAGCGGGCGATGGGGCTGTGATGTGGCTGTGATGGGCCTGTGATGTGGTTGTGATGTGACAGGTGGTTTCTGCGTGCACTTTTGAACTGGCTCAGTTGAGCCCAGCATAGTGTGTGGAATGAGAGGATGAAGAGGGAGGAGGAGAAGATTGAAAATGAGCTTCAAAAGCTGAAGGGGGCGGTGGGGTTGTGATGTGGGTGTGATGTGAGTGGTGGTTTGTTTGGTGCACCTTTCAGTGACTCAGTTGAGCCCAGCTTAGTGTGTGGAAGGAGAGGATATCGAGGGAGAAGGAGAAGGCAATTGATGATGGGCTTCAAAAGTTGAAGAGGGAGATGGGGCTGTGTGATGTGAATGGGTGAATCTGGAATGGAGTGTCACGTCAACTGCAGTTTCAATATACCAGTTAGTGTTGCTATGCACTACGAGATGCTTTAGGGGGGAATGGGGTTGTGTGGTGTTGTTGAGAAAGGGTAATATTTTTCATGTCAAGAAATGGCATTCAGCTCAACAGATAATAGAAGGATTTTTGGAACAAAGTGAGCTGATTTTAATGTGGTTTATAAACTATTGAGTTGATGCTGGGGGCTTCTGATTGGGGTTTATTTCTTCTTCATCAAGAGATGCTTGGGGCTGCCAAATGATTGAGCAGCTTGTGTAGAAAAGGATGTATACAAATAATCCACAAGACCAAGTTCTAGAGGCATGCCATTCATTCAGTGGCAGTCTAGTTACTCTGGCCCAGCCACAGCTGCTTCTAAGAAATCTAACCTTCTAAGCTAATATTGTCTCAGCGCACCACTCATTCTCCTAAGAGTGACCCGGCTGCTGGAGCCAGTGATTCTCCGCCTGGCTCCAAACCTGCCGATGCCGACTGAAATGCCTGACATTGCCAATGCCTCCCTCTCCTTCTCCTCTTCCTCATCCATGTACAGCTGATTCATGTAGCACATTGTTCCAGTCCCAAGGGTCCTGAAACTTTGCTTGCTACTGCCATCCTCTTCCTCCTCCTCTTCCTCCCCAAACAGCTGGATTGAGACAATCCGTCCCTCCTCCGCCTTCCCAAACCCCTTCACCTCCATGCTCCATTCTTTACGGCAGCTGGGGAGATCCTTACCAACCCTTCTCTTCACTGAGGATTCCTCAGCTGCCAAGAGCTCAGTGAAGCCAGTGGGCTTCAAACCGAAGTGATTAGCAGTGGACAGAGAGCATCCCTTCCCAATGCTGGAAACACCTCGACCAATGCCCCTCTTCACACCAGCTACCTCCGCCGTCAAGCCAGTGGGGCTGCTGCAGAGGCTATCAGCAGAGGAGGAGGAGGAGTCCGAGGAGAGGTGGATGAGACACGCACTGCGACTGCTGCAGCTGCTCCCACTGCTACTCAAGCTGCACCACCGGCTGCTCGCCTCTGCTCCCACCTTTCCACCCTTTTCATCCTGCTCTGATCCGGTTTCCACACCCAACCAGGCCGCAACCTTGGCTGAGGAGGCAGCAACCTTTGCAACTGAGTCAACTGAGAAGGTACATGGGGCAACTGAGTCCTCTTGAGCAAGCAGCTCCAGGAACGAAGTGGCTTTCTTCTTCAGCTCCTTCGGTCCCTCCGCTTTCTCAGCTTCCTCTGCCTCCTCAGCTTCCTCAGCTTCAGTCAAAACGGCAGCAGTCACGGTTGAAGCATCCACAGTCACGGCTTCTAGTTCTGCCTCCGTTGATGCAGCTTCTTCCAGAAGAGCGACAACAGGAAGAGCGGGAACCGACTGCACCTCCACTGCTGCTTGCTCGCACGGCCTGATCCAACTGGAGACGGCCTGCACGAGAAAAAAAGAGGTAGGTTAGTTGCTGGTTACGATAACCGTCATGACATAACCAGCAAACAAATTCTGATACTTAAGAATAAAACATTGCTGGTAAAAAAAGAGATGAGTTTTCGATAACTAAAGCGAAAGGCTTGGAGGAGGGAGTTCTTACCAGGCGTGGAGCTGCGATCATGCTGCAGACGAAGCGAGTGAGGAAGTCATTGTGCTCCCAACAGCTCGCGAACAGAGCTTCGACGTCCACGCAGGCACTCTCAGCACCGACGCAGGCCATGTTGATGACGGACGGAGTAGGAAGGAAGGCTAAGGCTTCCGCGACAGAGCTGGTACGCGAGATTATGAGCACTCAAGCAGGCTTAGACAGCTGGTAGTAACGAGGGAGCAAGGTAGGAGAAATTGCAAGTAGCTTCAATCGAGACTGATGAATGAAATAAAATTTCTGAAGCCTACTTATACTATTTCCGTCTGGTGGGTATAGTGACTCTGATGAGCGTCTGGTAAGAAGCGAGTGAGAGCGAGCGAGCGACGGAATGCGACGAGAGGCATCGGAGGGGTCGGAGGGTCGCAGGGGATCGAGGCTAGTAGGGGAACCCGCCGATGGTCGCTGCTGGCCGAATTCGCAACGCCTTGTGGCCCAGCCTGCTGCTCGCAACGCCTGTGGGGTGGGCTTGCGACAAACCGAGCCCATGGCGACATCGTCGCCTGGCCTTGGGGGTATTGGGGTGTCGCGCTAGTGTCCGTTTTACTAGCGGCGATTCAGCGTGCGACACCTGTGTTTTACGTGCCAGCGAGGCGGGGTCGTTTGGAAACACGTAAAGACTCAAGTTTCCGCCGCAATCGGGAGTACTGAGCGGCACTAGAATATTTGGGAGGCGGGAAACAGGTCAGGTTTGTAAGCCAACGAAGTCTTGGCAAACGCGCTACGGTCCCCCGAACCTAGCGCCCAGGCCAAGAGAACTGCGGGATGATTTCCGCGTGGATTGAGGCTATGACCAAGCTTCAACAAGAGGTCTGGTAGGGGAAGCTCAGTGCGGCAGGCGAGGAGGACAGAATCAAAGCAACGTAAGCGCTACAAAGCTCTCCGTATTTCCGTTGGCTCGATGCCGTGTACCCAAAGGAACAAGCTCAAAAGGTATGAATGCGAAATGCAGGCGAATTGCAATACTGTTATTTCTCCTCTTGATCAAGGAAACATACAAACAGTACTTGTTCTAACGCTCATCTCCTTGCTATGATGTAATGACATAATGACACTATTGAATCAATATGATAATTCATTATGAGTAGACAGAGAAATACTTCAGGAATCCTTACCTTCTCTCATTTCTGTGTCACTGCTGCCCTTGGATACAAAAGCTGTCAGAATGAGAACTACAGCGGAATGTGTTGCATTGACAGAATTGGGGTACATAACCTAACCCTAACTAGTTGTACCCCATATAGCCCAACCCACTACAGGCTATAATATTTGACACACCCCCATAGCCTAAGTGGGGAAGGCCAATCAACAACAAGCAACCTACGGTCACAAGACCAGTCAAAAGCAAGAGAAAGAAAACAAAGCTCAGGGTGGATCACAACGTCACCACCTAATCTGAGCACAAGCAAAGGGCCACAAGGCCAGTCCAAAAGTGTGCAAACAAATATATATAAGATACAAGCAAGCAACAGACAAAGAGCACCCTACAGCAGTCAACTAGACCCAGTCTCAACGAGGCCTAACTGCAGACAAAACCGGCGGTGGTCACAAGGCTGGAGGGCCTTGGTGAAGATGTCTGCAGTGTTGGCCTCGGAGGCCACAAACTCCAGACGAGCCTGCCCGCGTCTCTGCAACTCTCGAAGGAGGAAGTACCTGACGTCGATGTGCTTCACTCTGCTCTCCAGTCGAGGCTCACGACACAGGAGAATCATCGCCTTGTTGTCAGCAAACAAGGTCGGTGCAGAGCTCGGCCGCTCACCAAGGTCAGTGAGCAAGAAGGTCAACCAGCGTAGCTCCTGTGCAGCGAGGGCTCCAGCGTAGATCTCGGCCTCTGCGGTAGAAGTCGCAACAGAGGAGGACCGAGTAGACCTCCACGAAACAGCTCCAGAGCCCAGGCTGAAACAGTAACCCTGTGTAGACCTCTGTGACTCAACGTCGTCGGCGTAGGAGGAGTCGCAGTGACCGGTGAGTACAACTGGCTGTGTCCCTCCAAGTACAAGCCCCATGTCTGATGTCGCGCCGAGGTACTTCGCCACCCTCTTAGCCGCCGCCCAGTGAACAGGACGGTGTCTCCCTGTCGCAACAAAGCGAGAAAGGATGCTAAGAGGGAAGGCGAGGTCCGGGCGAGTACACGTCATCAGGTACATGAGGCAGCCCACCAACTCTGCGTAGGGACCACTGGGCTCGAACGGCTCGTCAGGAAAAGGCCCAGTGAGTCTGTGGTCTACAGCAAGAGGGGTGGGAGGAGGAGAGGAGTGCTGAAGCCCGAACCGCTGAAGGACCTGCTGCACCATGTGTGACTGAGTCAGAGTGATGGTGCGAGCGGCTCTGTCCCTGGAGATCTGCAGGCCAAGGTAGCGGCGCAGTTCCCCAAGGTCAGTGCAGGTGTGTCTCTTCTGCAGTTCGGACTTCACCTCCGCCAGTGCAACTGTGTCGGCTGTGGCAAAAACCAGGTCGTCAACGTAGACAAGAACAAAGAAAGGTGTGCGCCCACGACGAACAAACAGCGACGGGTCGGCGGAAGACGGCTCAAACCCAAGGTCGGACAGAGTAGAGCGGAGAGTGTCGTGCCACTCACGGGGTGCCTGGCGGAGACCGTAGACCGGTCGTCTGAGGCTCCACTGGGTCCCAGGCGGGAAAGTGCCAGTGAAGCCCGGAGGACGACGCAGCCAGATCTCCTCGTGTAGGCTGCCCTGCAAGAAGGCAGTGGAGAAGTCGAGAGAGTGTAGCTCGTAGTCTCTCTGCGCTGCTACGTGCAGTAACACCCGAAGAGTGGTCATCTTCGGGGTGGGCGCAAAGGTCTGAAAGAAGTCAACTCCCTCACGCTGACTGAAACCTCTAGCCACGTAGCGTGCCTTGAAGACTGGAGGAGATCCCGGCGGCCGCTTCACCTTGAAGATCCACATGCCGTCAACAATGTTCGCCCCTGGGGGGGGAACCTCGTCAACGTAAGTGCCTGTGGACCTGTAGGAGGCCATCTCTGCGTCCATGGCAGCTCTCCACTGAGAGGCCCAAGACCCTGACACTGCCTCAGCGTAAGTGCGAGGAGTAGGTATGTCAGGAGCGTCGGGGTCTCCCTCAGGAGCGAGCAGCATGGCACAGAGATGAGGTGAAGCGGCTGCCAGGAACTCTAGCTCAAACTGTCTATCCTCTAGGACGGCACAGCCAAGGGCAAACTCACCCCCGGCGGACAGAGGACGGACAGGAGGAGCCGCCACAACGCGAGTGGCGTAGTCAAGGCGACGCGTAGCAGTAAAGTCTGTGACAGCGGCAGTGAGGACAGTGACGGAGGAAGGAGAGGCACGAGGGTCTGTAACAAGAGAGGCGAGAACACGAGAGAGAGTGGGGCGGTACGTGCGGTAGTAGTCAGTGACCGGAGTAGACAGGGAGGCAGTGAGGGACGACTCAGGAGGACGAGGAAGAACAGACGGAGGAGAACGAGGAGGACTAGGACGAAACAACACGGTACGAAGGTCACGGACAGGTGACGAGGGACGAGCACGAGGAGGACGAGAGGCCCAAGTGTGGGAGAGAGGAGTGGGAGACGGAGCGGGAGACGGAGGAGACTGAGAACGAGGGAACACAGCCGGAGCTGAGTCCGGAGGAGGAAACGTCGGACCGAACACAGGAGGAGAGGAGGAGGGGAGACCAAGGGCCCGAAGGCCAGTAACAGAGGCCGGAGGCTGCTCCGGCTGCTGCGGCGGCTGCTGCTGCTGCTGCTGCTGCTGCTGCTGCGGCGGCTGCTGCTGCTGCTGCTGCTGCGGCGGCTGCTGCTGCTGCTGCTGCTGCTGCTGCTGCTGCTGCTGCTGCTGCTGCTGCTGCTGCTGCTGCTGCGGCGGCTGCTGCTGCTGCTGCTGCTGCTGCTGCTGCTGCTGCTGCCCGCTGCAACTCCAGCCTCTCACGCTCCACCCGCTGCTGAACCTCCAACCTCTCACGCTCCAAACGCTGCTGCTCCTCACGCTCAAGACGAAGACGGGTCTGGTGTCGAGTCAGGTAGGGGTGAGGAGGAGGAGTGGTGTCAGGAGACGAAGAAGAAGAACCGGCTCCACCCTCAACAGCACCCGGCTGAGAACCCCCAGAGCGTGTACCCCCTGCGCCAACACGACTAGTACCTGTAGGAGGTGGACCCGCACCCCCAGTCGGGGTGCCTCCAGTGGCACCAGCACCAGCCTCAGACTCTCCAGCTCCAGAAACACCACCAGCTCCAGCACCACCAGAACGGGCAGCCGCGGCGGGTGCACGCTCAGCGCCAACGCCAACACCCCCAGAACGGGCGGCTCCTGTAGGTGCACTAACAGCTCCAACGCCAGCACCCCCAGAGCGAGCACCGCCAGAGCCCTCACCCCGAGCACCAACACCCTCAGAGTCCGCAGTGGCCGGTAAAGGAAGCGCTGACGGCTGCTGCGGAGGCTGTGAGGACGACTGTGGGGAAGGAGGTGAGACCTGGGGGGGTACCGAGGGGGGGGGAGTAGCGTGGGACACACCAGACGGAGCAGGACCAGGGGGGGGTACCGGAGGAGCAGGGGCGGGAGGAGGAGGAGCTGGAGCCAGGAAGAGGGGAGGGGGGGGGGGGGGGGAACCGGGAGACCTCGACAGGGGTACCGGACGTAGTAGGGGACAGACTCGTCGAAACGGACGTCACGAGAGTCAAAGAACCGGTGGGAGGGAGGGTGGTAAAAGGTGAAGTCAGAGGAGGCCTCAGGGAAACCAAGGAAGACACAGGGGACGCCGCGAGGTGAGAGCTTGTCCGCAGAGGTGTCGCGGACAAGCGCCAAGCAGCCCCAGACACTAAACCTCGACGCAACACCAGGGGACCCTGTCCAAAGACTGGTCGGTGAAGCCCCTGGCCAAGAGACGCGAGGCCAGAGGTTCAGCTGGTGAGCGGCGTACCGAGCCGCGTAGGGCCACAGAAAATGGGGCGCGCGGGCGTGGATCATGGAGGTGCGGGCAATCTCCATGACCAGGCCTAGCCGGCGCTCAGCAACCCCATTCTGCTGTGGAGAGTCTGGAAGAGTCCAGGACTGGGTGATGCCCTGCTCAGCACAGAATCTGGCGAGAACGCCGGAGCGAAACTCACCCCCACGGTCGGAGTGGAGACAACTGACACGACGACGACGAGTACTCTCGGTGGCGAGCAGCCACCGGATCAGCGTAGAAGTCACGTCGGACTTCTTCGCCAAAGGGAACACGGTGGTGTACCGAGAGTAGTCGTCAACGACCACTAGAAAGAAGCTCTCTCGCTCAGGGCCAAGCCGGGAAGCGGGGCCCCAGACGTCTAAGTGGAGTGTCTCAAAGGGCTCGGAGGCTGGACGAAGGGAGGAGGAGTGAGGAGTGGCGCGCAGCCGACCCTGGACACAAGGACCGCACGGAGGAGCGGGGGACGGCGGGAGCGGCGGGAGGTCGCGGGGGAGGCCTAAGACAAGACGCTGACTGGACATAGCGCGGAGACGAGAGAGGGACGGGTGACCAAGGCGGTGGTGCCAGAGGAGGACAGGGTGGGACAGCGACCGACACGAGCACGACGCAGCCACTAGACCTGGCACAGCTACCTGACTGGACCTGGCTACCTGGTGGGACGGGGGAACCGGACGGGTGTCGGTGTGGAGGGTGTACAGACCAGAGCCCGACTCCTGACGAAAAGTGGCCAGAGGGGCGTACGTGTCACCGTCCACACAGACTGCAGTGTCACCAGAAGGCTCAAACCAGACCCCGACGTGCTGTCTCGCCAGAGGAGCCACACCAACCAGGTTCCTAGAGAAAGTAGGAACGTGGAGGCCGGTCAGAGAAAGGGGCAGCTGGGCACGGGAGGGTAGTGGCGTGAGTCGCAATGACCGGTCCCGAAGAGGGATCAGCCAGTGCTACAGGAACCGGCGCCGAGAGTGGAGTAAGAGTCGTGCTGTCGCGGAAGAAGCACTGCGTCGCTCCGGAGTCCAGTGTGAAGGAGAGCGACGCGTCCGCCGAGGGAGCACCTGTACTAGTAGCTAGACAGGATCCTACACCAGCACCTACTCTAGCAACAGGCAAAGATCCTACGCTAGGTACAGGCAAGTAAACAGATCCAGCAGCACTATAGTCAACATCAGCATACATCGCATAAGACCTAGCATCATCCATAGACATATCAAACACCGCAACACCACGAGCAAGGAGTGGTCCCCAGCGCGGTGGCGGGGGAGCGGAGGGGCCGTGGTGCAGGACGTACAGGTCGTCGAGACGACTGAAGCAGCGTGCAGCAGAGTGGTCAGGGCGGCCGCAGTACGTGCCCCTGCGCGGACCCGTCAGGATCCAGTACTCACAGGGACCAACGTCGCGGCCGGCCGAGCGGGGTCCCCGACTAGAAGGGGCACCACTGCGCCCAGTGCTCGGGGGGCCCGTAGGTCTCCACTGCTGCGGGGGGCCCCACTGCTGCGAAGGACCCCACTGCTGCTGAGTGCCCCACTGCTGCTGAGTGCCCCACTGCTGGGGCTGCTGCTGAGGCGGACGCTGCTGCTGGCCCTGGCGCTGCTGCTGCTGTCCCTGCCGCTGCTGCTGTCCAGGCGGTGGCAGCTGCGGAGGAGTCTGCTGCTGCTGCTGCGGAAACCCCTCACCACCGTCTAGAGGAGAGCCGTCAGGTCCCGAGTCACCCCCGCCGCCACCCCCGCCACTAGTACTACCGCCACCGCCGCCACCCGCAACACCCCCAGAACCCCCGCCGCCCTTCCCTCCCTTCTTGCCGGACTTGCCACGTTTCTGTCCGCCAGAGACAGAAACGGCCGCCGTCTCCTCAGAGGCAGAAGACGCGGCAGTGGCAAGCGAGGCAGTGAAGGTGGGAAGCTGTGGTACCGCACACCCCTCAAAGAGACGAGGAGGAGGCGCGGAAGAGGCGGAGGCAACAGCGAGGAGGTTACTCTCGATCTTCGAGAGAGCGGTCTCAAGAAGATCGATAGTAAGCTCAGTGGGGTGCTTCAGGAGAAGCGCGTCGCGGGCTGTGGCTAGACGGTCAGGGAGGCGAGTGACTAACCAGTGAATAGTGAGCCACATGGGGGGGGGTGCAAGGGCAAGCTGTTCCTCAGTGCAAGCGGCCTTGAAGCGAGCTTCAAGGGAGCGCAGGTGGGTAGCGAGGTCAGCGACAGTCTCAAAGGAGGCGAGGTCAGGGTAGATAAAGGGGACGAGAAGGCGGCTGAGGGAGGCAGAGGAGGGAGTGGAGTAGCGAGCAACAATAGCAGTGTAAAGGGCTGCAGCAGACTCGACCTGAGTGAAGTGGACGGCCTCAGTCGGCGGGAGAAGGTCGGTCAGGGCGAGGCAGGCAGCAGCGTCACGAGACTCCCACACGTCACGAGCGAGGAACCGGCGCTGGTACTCAGCCTCCTGCTCGGAAGTAGGCGGTGGGGTAGTGGGCAGCGGTGTAGGCTGCGGCGGGGCGGGCAGAGCACCGGACGCATGCGCAAACAGGTGCACGCCATCCTGGCGCTGGCTCCTAAGGTGGCGCTGGGCCTGCGTCAGCCAGGTACTAAAGTCGATCGCGCGCCCCTCAGGGTCGAAACGGAGCACGCGAGACGTCGCCATGAGGGGCGAGAACAAGTGATAGCGGCCGCCAGCCGCGAGAGGAGGAGGAGAGGGAGGTGAGTGCGAGGCGGGTGCGCGCAGGCGGGGCGCGTTCTGGCTGGGCGCGGGGCGGCGGGGCGCGCGCTGGCGGGGCGCGCTGGCTGGCGTGGCGCGCGGGCGCGGCGCGCTGGCGGGCGGCTAGGCAGGGCGCGCGCTGGCGGGCGCGGCGCGCTGGCGTGCGCGCCGGCGGGGCCCGCTGGCGCGGGGCGCTGGCGGGCGCGCTAGCGGGCGCACTGGCGTGCGTGGTGGCGGGCGCGCTGGCGGGCTCGCTGGCGGGCGCGCTGGCAGGCGAGCTGGCGGGCTCGCTGGTGTGCCCGCTGGCGGGCGCGTTGGCGGGCTGTCGTGCAAGCGGGCTGGCGCGCTGGTTGGCTGGCAGGCTAGCGCGCTGGTTGGCAGGCGCGCTGGCTGGCTGGCGCGCTGGCTGGCTGGCGTGCGCGCTGGCTAAGGGCGGGGAGGGGAGCTAGGGCGCTGGCGGGCTGGCGGGGCGCAGTGGTAACCCTAATGGTAGGGACGGGCGGGCCTAGGGCTAGGAGCGCTAACCTACTGCTGATACCATGTCAGAATGAGAACTACAGCGGAATGTGTTGCATTGACAGAATTGGGGTACATAACCTAACCCTAACTAGTTGTACCCCATATAGCCCAACCCACTACAGGCTATAATATTTGACAATATTCACCAAGGCGCTTCCGCTTAGTGATCATCAGCGGCACTGCACTGCGTTAGGCCTTGTGTCCACGTTCTCTCACTTGCTTACTTCTTGACTTTGTTTGTACTGTGATCACTATATATATATCTCCTTGCATACTTACACTTGCTAGGCTGTGATCACTGTACTGCTTGTATTGTTCTATATAGATCTGCATGTGAACTGGCCTTGTGGCCCTTTGCTTGTGCTCAGAGTGTGTGGTGACGTTGTGATCCACCCTGAGCTTGCTTTGTTTTTCTTGACTGGTCTTGTGACCCCTTGTTCTCCCCCACTTTGCCTATGGGGGTGTGTCAAACTATATATGTGTTAGGCTGTAGTGGGGTAGCCCATATGGGGTACAACCCAAAGTTAGGGTTAGTACTTGTACCCACATTTCATTCAATGCACTCATTCCTGCCTAGTAATTCTAACAAAGCGAAGCAAAGCATATCGAAACACCCGCGAGTCAACCCTCGGAGGTTGAAGTAACCGCTGGAGGTTACGCGAAAGTCAAAGGTCAGCGACCTTTGACCTGACCAGTACAGTGCGACAGCAAGGACACACAACCGACTCGTTACAGAGCAGTTGCCCGAGTCGTCACTGTATCGAACCGCAACAGCAACAATAAAACAGTTATAGCTGTATCCTTTCATATTCCTTGTACTCTTATATAATCTTGTATCTCTTTGCTTTAATCAACTTACTTTGCTCTCACATACCAGCGCAAGGTGGTTCAAACCTCTTCATTAAAACGCTTCCGCTATTACATTGTTCCTACCCAGAGTTCACCCCTGCAAAGATCCTCTAAGGGCCTTTTTCCCAGCCCAACACTTCATTTACTGGCTCACTCATTCTGATCTGAAGCATATCTTTGAGATGTTCTCAATTCAGATGAGTTCATTTGACCAGTACTGCTGAATGATTGACTGGTTTTAGTGTATTTACAAGACCGGGTTCTAGAGGCATGCCATTTAGTGGCAGTCTACTCCAGACACTCTGGCTCAGCCAGAGCTGCTACTTCAAACTCTTAACTCGCTAATATTGTCTAAATGCACCGCTGATTCTCCTGAAAAGGACCCGGCTGCTAGAGCCAGTTATTCTCCGCCTGTCTACAAACCTGCCGATGCCAACGGAGATGCCCAATGTTCTCAATGCCTCCCTTTCCTCCTCCTCTTCCTCATCCGTGTACAGTTGATTCATGTAGCACATCGTTCCAGTCCCAGAGATCTTGAACCTTTCTCTGTTGCTGCCATCCTCCTCTTCCTCCTCATTGTCATACCCATACAGGAGATTTGAGACAGTCAGTCCTTGCTTCGCCTTTCCAAACCCCTTCACCTCCATGCTCCAGTCCTTCCCATTGCAGGAAAGGCCCATACCGATCCCACTTGTCACTGATTTGTTCTCAGCTGCCAAGAGCTCAGTGAAATGGTAAGCAGTGGACCGAGAGCATCCCTTCCCAACGCCCAATACCCTTCTTCACACCAGCTACCTCCGCTGCCAAGCCAGTGGAGCTGCTGCAGAGGCTATCAGCAGAGGAGGAGGAGGAGGATTCCGAGGAGAGGTGGATGAGACACGCACTGTGGCTGCTGCAGCTGCTCTCAGTGCGACTCAAGCAGCTCCACCCGCTGCTTGCCTCTGCTCCCACCTTCCCACCCTGCTCTGATCCACCTTCCACACCCAACCAGGCTGCAACCTTGGCTGAGGAAGCAACAGCCTGAACTGTGGGTGAGGCAAGTGAGTCTTCTTGAGCAAGCAGCTCCAGGAACGAAGACGCTTTCTTCTTTGATTCCACTGGTTTCTTTGCTTCCTCAGCTTCTGCAGCTTCAATCGAAACGGCAGAAGTCACAGTTGCAGCATCCGCCTTGCCAGCTTCAGTGAGATGGTGGACGGTTTCTACATCTGCCTTTGTTGACGCAGCTTCTTCCAGAAGAGCGACATTAGGAAGAGCGACAACAGGCAGAGCGGGAACAGGAAGAGCAGGAACCGACTGCACCTCCACTGCTGCTTGCTCGCACGGCCTGATCCAGCTGGAGACGGCCTGCATGAGGAAACAGAGATAGGTTAGTTGCGGTTTAGGAGAAGGGCCATGACATCACCAGCAAACAAATAGTGATTAACATATGAACAAAACGCTGCTGGTAAAGAAGACGAGGGTTTGCGAGAGCTGAAGGGAATGGCTTGAGGAACGGGTTCTTACCAGGCGTGGAGCTGCGATCATGCTGCAGACAAAGCGAGTGAGGAAGTCATTTTGCTCACAGTAGCTCGCGAACACAGCTTCGACGTCCATGCAGGCACTCTCAGCACCGACACTGGCCATTTCGTTGACGGGCGAAGAGTTGGGGTGTTACGGTTAAGCTTTCGCGACGAGTTTGTACTGTAGATCCTGACCACTTGAGAGGAGTTTTACAGCTGGTAGCGAACGGAGCTGGTAGGAACTCGAGGTCACGGTAGGAAAATTAGCAAGCAGCTTTAGTCGAGACTGATGAATGAAACCAAAATTCTAGCGACCTATTTGTACTTTTTTCCGTATGGTGACTGGAGCAACTTCGATAGGCGGGTGTGAAGCGAGTGGGAGCGAGCGAGCGAGCGAATGCGACGAGAGGGGTGGGAGGGTGGCAGGGGAGCGAGGCAAGCAGGGGAACCCACCGAAGTGGTCGCTCCTGTGGCATGGGCTTGCGAGGCGGCGCGAAAATCCGAGCCCATAGTGATATCGTAGGCTGGCCTTGGGGGTGTCGGAGAGTCACACGAGATTCAAAAATTTACAGCGACGATTCAGAATGGAACACGTGTATCTTATGAGCTAGCGAGGAAGGTCGCTTGGAACCGGGTTATGCACTAGCGTCCGCCGCAATCGGGAGCACCGAGTGCGACGCGAGTTCTGATTAGGCGGGAAATAGGTCAGGTTCGGAGCCGAAGAGAGATCGACGAGCACTGTGTAATTACCGAACCTAACGTCAAAGCCTCGAGAAATCCGCGGGGTACTGACCAACATACCACATAGAGTATGTTGGGTAGCAGGTTGGGCAGTGAGGTTTTGCCGAAGGCAGAGGAGCAACAAAATCGAGACTCCGTAAGTGCTACACTACTCCCCGCTGCAACCAGATGACGAAGAACATGGAAGAGTTTTGTGTATAGAAAACTTTGTATACAAATTCCACGTTCGACTTATGCCAAGGAACACATATAAAGCTTCAACTTTGATATCTGCATCACAATTTTTCACATATTAAACAGAGAAAATGGCACTCTGCCATCGCATATGGGATGGGTACAATCACAAAAGGCCGGTTGGTGTTCATGGAACTAGGCTACTGCTTTCAAATAAGGGCACAGAATGGGGTCAAAACCCAATCACTTGTCAAAGTAGCTAGTTAATCTTAGGACCCATGGCTAGGGTTGAGGATACTAGCATGAGTATCGAGAGAGCTTAGCGAAGGAGAAAGGTGGTTTCACTATGGCAAAACAAGAACATATATGGGAAAGGAGGGGAGGTGCACCACCAAAACAAGATGCATATAGCTACACTAGGATTTACTGTAGGCAGGTATATAAATGTATACAAATACATTTCAACACACCCCCTAGCTGCCTACAGTGAGAACCATGTGCAACAGCACCCCCTGAAGGGGTACACCAGGCGCAGCAGAGGAAGGAGAGGGCAAGTGACGAGGAAGAGGGACCATGAGAGGAGAGGAGGTGGTGGGTGGCGGCTGAAGCTGCTGGCACGCGGGCAACAGGAGCAACTGGCACACGGGCAACTGGAGCAACTGGCACACGGGCAACTGGAGCAACTGGCACACGGGCAACTGGAGTAACTGGCTCTGCGGCTACGACGAGCGGCTAGAGCAACCGACTCACGGACGACTGGAGCAATGGGCTCACGAACGACTGGAGCAACAGGCCCACGGGCGACTGGCGCAATGGGCTCACGGGCAACTGGAGCTGCTGGCTTCACCGCGGCCACCCCCCTTCAACCTCCCCCATTTTCCCAAGGCTCCCTTTCACACCCCTCGGCATCCCTACCGCCACTCCCTTGTCTCCCACACACCCTCCCCCCCCCACTGCGGCATGGGCAGCAGTGGGAGAGAGAGGAGGAGAGGCGGCAGCTGATTACTCACACCCGCCACCCCCATACCCTCCCCCCCACTGCTGCACGCGCAGCAGGGGGATGGAGGAGAAGGGGGGGCGGGGTAGGAGCTGCGCGGGCGACAGTAGGGCGCGCGAGCGGGCAGAAACCGTCGCGCATCCAAGGCGCGCGATGGGCAGAAACCGTCGCACACACGGGGCGCGCGACGGGCAGGAAACCGTCGTGCGCGCTGGGCGCGCGACGGGCTGAAAATCGACGTGCGCTCGGGGCGCGCGACGGGCAGAAAACCGACGCGCGCCCGGGGCGCGCGACGGGCAGCAGAGTGGCGCATTAGCGGAAGTGAAGGGCGGGCCCAATGAGGCAGGTCCTAGGAGGAACCTGGCTCTGATAGCATGTCAAAGTAACTAGTTAATCTTAGGACCCATGGCTAGGGTTGAGGGTACTAGCATGAGTATCGAGAGAGTTTAGCAAAGGAGAAAGGTGGTTTCACTATGGCAAAACAGGAACATATATGGGAAAGGAGGGGAGGTGCATCACCAAAACAAGAAGCATAAAGCTACACTAGGATCTACTGTAGGCAGGTATATAAATGTATACAAATACATTTCAACATCACTACATTAAAACACGAGAAGCGAGGGGAGGGGGAAGAAAAAGGGATATTAGTGTTAGCAGCAGCAGTGAGAAACAGTGCAGTGGGGAGGTGAGGAAGAGGCATCCATAAGGGCTGGGGGGAAGGTGAGGGTGGGGAGATGTACTCATGGAAAGAAGGAACGCAGCACGAAGCAGCGCAGATTCGAGTGGAATATATGTTGAGGCGCGTTCATGCACTGTGGACAAGGGACGATCGAGCAAAAAGGAGAACAATTTACGGCAGAAGGATAGCATCCATGCTGAGAAAATGGAGGAGTGGCATGCGGAAGGATTGGGAGGAAAGTGGGGAGCATGAGGAAAGGGATGAGGTCTAGTATGATGGGATAAGGACGCCGTGCTTCCTTCTTCTAATCTCTTTGCGATTCTCTCCCACCCCTTACCTTCCGCTGTAGCCTACGGCCTCTCCCCCCCCCCCCCCCCCCCCATCCACCCCACAAACAAACCCCCATTTCGCATCCCCCCTCCTACCATCCCTACTTATCCAATCTTGCTCCCCTTAACCTCGTATCCCCTTTCCTCCTACCTCGCATCCTGCAATCCACCCATATCCTAGTCCCCCATTCACCATCCCCCCATCCCCCATTTCCCATCTCCCATTCCCCGGTCTATCCACCCCTATATCTCACGTTCCCGTGTTTCTCATTACCCATCCAGCTTCCCAAGTCCCTATCCCCCTTCCCCACATCCCCCCATCTCATCCCCCTTTCCCCATACCCCATCCCCCCATCTCATCCCCCTTTCCCCCATCTTTCATCTCCCTTTCTTCTTGTTGCAATCAGAAGTAAGATCGTAGCCAGGATCGCCTCAGGAAGGTTCGTACAGAGTGCGTGGTAGTTGGTAGGCCCTTGCCTCAATTCAGAGTGAATGTAAAATGATTGAGATGATTAAAACATGCAAATACAAGCACATAAATAGTGGTACAGTGGGAATACCAATCGTCCTAGCTAGCCATGTACTCCAAGGGGTACATTCCCTTATTCAAATTCAAACCCAACCGTGCGGCGCGTACAGTTACAAAACTGTTCCCGCACTTTTCCTCACTTCTGCAGCTGCCGATGCCGTTTGATCCCGACAGTCCGGATGCTCCCAACTGTTCGTGTCGCTCCGAGTCATTTCTGACTCTTCGTTCTGCAGACTCGGTACTACGTGCTTCGCTTGCTGCTGTCAGGAGTGTACAACTTTAATTTACCATTCGTAACACTTCCGATCCCCATCCCATCCCCTTTTCTTCCACCCCGCCATCCCGATTCCCATCCGCCTTTGTTCCACCCCCCCATCTCATCCCCCTTTCCCCCATCTTTCATCTCCCTTTCTTCCTGTTGCAATCAGAAGTAAGATCGTAGCCAGGATCGCCTCAGGAAGGTTCGTACAGAGTGCGTGGTAGTTGGTGGGCCCTTGACCTCAATTCAGAGTGAATGTAAAATGATTGAGATGATTAAAACATGCAAATACAAGCACATAAATAGTGGTACAGTGGGAATACCAATCGTCCTAGCTAGCCATGTACTCTAAGGGGTACATTCCCTTATTCAAATTCAAACCCAACCGTGCGGCGCGTACAGTTACAAAACTGTTCCCGCAATTTTCCTCCCTTCTGCAGCTGCCGATGCCGTTTGATCCCGACAGTCCGGATGCTCCCAACTGTTCGTGTCGCTCCGAGTCATTTTTGACTCTTTGTTCTGCAGACTCGGTACTACGTGCTTCGCTTGCTGCTGTCAGGAGTGTACAACTTTAATTTACCATTTGTAACACTTCCAATCCCCATCCCATACCCTTTTCTTCCACCCCGCCATCCCGATTCCCATCCGCCTTTGTTCCATCCCCCCATCTCATCCCCCTTTCCCCCATCTTTCATCTCCCTTTCTTCCTGTTGCAATCAGAAGTAAGATCGTAGCCAGGATCGCCTCAGGAAGGTTCGTACAGAGTGCGTGGTAGTTGGTGGGCCCTTGACCCCAATTCAGAGTGAATGTAAAATGATTGAGATGATTAAAACATGCAAATACAAGCACATAAATAGTGGTACAGGGGGAATACCAATCGTCCTAGCTAGCCATGTACTCCAAGGGGTACATTCCCTTATTCAAATTCAAACCCAACCGTACGGCGTGTACAGTTACAAAACTGTTCCCGCACTTTTCCTCCCTTCTGCAGCTGCCGATGCCGTTTGATCCCGACAGTCCGGATGCTCCCAACTGTTCGTGTCGCTCCGAGTCATTTCTGACTCTTCGCTCTGCAGACTCGGTACTACGTGCTTCGCTTGCTGCTGTCAGGAGTGTACAACTTTGATTTACCATTCGTAACACTTCCGATCCCCATCCCATCCCCTTTTCTTCCACCCCGCCATCCCGATTCCCATCCGCCTTTGTTCCATCCCCCCATCTCATCCCCCTTTCCCCCATCTTTCATCTCCCTTTCTTCCTGTTGCAATCAGAAGCAAGATCGTAGCCAAGATCGCCTCAGGAAGGTTCGTACAGAGTGCGTGGTAGTTGGTGGGCCCTTGACCTCAATTCGGAGTGAATGTAAAATGATTGAGATGATTAAAACATGCAAATACAAGCACATAAATAGTGGTACAGTGGGAATACCAATCGTCCTAGCTAGCCATGTACTCCAAGGGGTACATTCCCTTATTCAAATTCAAATCCAACCAACCGTACGGCGCGTACAGTTACGAAACTGTTCCCGCACTTTTCCTCCCTTCTGCAGCTGCTGATGCCGTTTGATCCCGACAGTCCGGATGCTCCCAACTGTTCGTGTCGCTCCGAGTCATTTATGACTCTTCGTTCTGGAGTCTCGGTACTGCGTGCTTCGCTTGCTGTTGTCAGGAGTGTACAACTTTAATTTACCATTTGTAACACCCCCCTTCACTCCTGACCGTAGCTCGACTTGACTCGCTTGACTACCCCGCTGAGTTCGGAGCAGTGCTGG